TAGGCGCTTTGGGGAGCAAAGGCCTCTTGCGCCCTTCATGGATTAGCTTGAAAGGAGGGGTCGTGATAAGGCAATTCCCTTCAAGTTTAGGGGTGGGTGACGAGTGTAAGTTTTAAGGCTCATTGAGGATATTATCTTGGGAGGTTATTTATATATTCAAATTTATATAATGATAATTCGAATTATGATGGCAAATCATAGGACATAAATCTTAAATCGGGATGCTCTCATTCCGGTGCAAGAGGCTTCTGCTCCCAAAAGCACCAATTAAGAACCAGAAATGCGTATAGACGCATAGAGGCTTATGCTCTCAGAAAAGGCAAATCCACCACCACCCCGAACAAGAAACGAGACCAACCAAAAGATTCGTGCTCTCCAAGACACCTCGTCGTGCACAAAAACCCGCCGCCACCCCCAATTAGAGAGGCGTCCCAGAAAGACGAAAAGCAGAAGAAAACAACGAAAGTTCCACCAGGTGAGACGTCTCAAAGGTGAAACCCAATTGTAAACAAGGCAAGAGAATTGTTGAGAAATCACGCCTCCATAAATTCTCATAGGAAGGTTGCTCTCAAGCAGCTCAGAAGTTCAATTCGTGTAAGCAAGCCAGCCTGCGCTAAGGAGTCTCCTGCAGAACATCAACATGACGTCAATGGCGTCCTATTTTGAAGGGACTCCTGTGCAAAGATCAATCATCAATCAAAAGTGGATATCAGGAATGAAATGTTCGCCCCCGAGGGGTAGTTTTGGCTCGCCTTCGCGGCGACGTTGGATACATCTATGCAAATGCCGTTGCAGTGCAAACGAAATACGTTCGCGTAGCCGAAGTTTTGTGGTCCCAAGAGGCCGTTCTAATGGTCCATCTACGGCACGGCAGAGAGAATCCATAAGTTGAGTCCCTTCGACATTCAGACCTCCCGCATAATCGAAGACAATTGGTTCAAAACCGATTCCCTGTTCGTTACATCGGCTCAAAGTGGCTCGATCCTGGCGCTTGTGTTGGGCATGTTGTTCTGTTGCCTTCTGCAAGTCGACCCTTTGCCGGAAAGGTGATACCACTGCAAAATCCATGGCGATTCGACCGAAATGCTTCCAAGCAGATTGTCTGCATAATGGAGTTGGTACCGTCAGAATGTCCGCAGGTCTACGTGCAGGATCCTCCGGTAACAAGTGAGTTGGCTCTCTTCGGACTCCCAATCCTCCACCCCATAAGGCTCGAAAGACTTCATCCCGGATGAGATTATGAAGAGTGGTTTTTCCTATCATATTACAACTCAAGCAATGATGACCGAAGGCATCACTACTTTGGGGACACATTCGACATTCCTCATCAGCATCAAATATGGACAAGCCAAGTCGCATAGAAAGGACATCATGAAATGCAACATTGGGCAAGTGTGTATCAAATGCTTGACTCGGAATAGCTTGAGTCCACCCATCGGCCCAAGCTCCCGAATAACTCTCAACTCTCGATCGATCCCGTTGACCGAGTTGTCGCAAGAAGTCGCTATGGGCAGCCGCAACGGCTTCCTTGAGCAAATCCTTTTGTCGAAGCTTACTAGTGTCATCTCTCAAGCAAGGGCCCCATGCTGGAAACAACGACTCCAGACGTTGTATAGCCGGTGCCAGTCCCAAGATAGATTGGTCTCCTGGACGTGAGATCAGAGCTTCACAGAGGCTGCGCGTAGAACGAATAGCTGCTACATAGGAGATATCAGCTCTAGAACAAAAGTCCTGTCCGACCGCGATTTTTTCCGCCACTAACCCTAACCCGCCCCGGTCAGGATAGAAGCCAACTTGACGCCATGTTAGTTCGGAAAGTGGTTGATCCACGAGAGCTTCGACAGCCTGTTTGAACCGATCCTCGTACCAATCGAACAACGGAGCTAAAAACGTACGTGGGGCGGTGCGTGCCAAGAATTGAAGCTGACAATGTCCACAACATTGTTGCATCAAGTGAAACGCCACATGCTTACAATCCAAACTTTCCAAGGCTCGGAATATCTGTTCATACTGCGAACGCCGCACGTCGCAGAATTCTTGCATGAACTCCTGCTGTCCATAGACGGGCGTTTTCAACATTTGAATATCAGCTCCCGCAACTATCTGCACCCCCAACGCCTGGAAGGCCGAGACATCCCCCCGGAATCCCTCCCCCGCCAAGAGATATAGCTTACATTGGGAGAAATCGTAGCTCAACCCAAATTTCCGGGCTAACTGAACTTCAGCCTGGAAGTGTTTCAAGACCTCCTGAACCCGACCTCCACTGAATCCATCGTCTGCGTATTCAGGCCGAAAGGGGGGAACAACACCACATAGGGCGGCAGCTTCCTCAGCATGTCTCTTACGAGTCAAACAGAAAAGAGCCATCATCATTGGGCATCCCTGTTGTCCCCGACTACTCCTATAGACGGACCCATCATATACGAGATTCGACTCGGAGGCATAACAATATTTCGCGAGGCGGGCTGAAGCCGGAGCGAAGCGGCGGCAGTCATATAAGAATTCTTCCGGCAACACCGTGTTAAAGGCGTTCTTCACATCTTTTTGAAGAAGAACCATATCTTCCTCTTGCCTATGAACCGCAATCCACTGTCGCGCCGCATGAATCAAACCCTCCGCACCGCCCGCGACCGCCACAGCAAGCTGATGGGGCAACAAGCGCTCACGGATCTCCGTAGAATCATGCTTAAAGGTACACTTGAAGGCAAGTTTACGGAACACCTGCGCCATAACAATGGGGCGCGCATCCCGATCAAGAGGGATCAGATGCCCATCTTTGTCCAGCTTTCCAACACCAACCAAGGCACCCCCTGCCAACCAAGGCTGAAGAGCATCAGAAACATCGGCGTCAACCAACATTTGGATGAAGAGCTTCAAAACACCGAGCCCCTCCGAATCAACCGAGTGTCCGACAACTCCCTTCAAGAAGTCAGTACGCAGACCATCCGGGCCGGGACCAGACCCAACTGGGAACGAATGAAGGGCTTTCAGCAGGGTTGGGAGGGGAATATCAGGAGTCGGCGGCAGCGCGGTGCGCACTAACGGGCTGGAGGGGTTCGAGGGGAATTTAGCAAGCAATTTATGACGAACATGTTCACTATTCTCCGCAAGTCCGGGCGAGACCAGGCGCTTAATAGCTTGCCCTGGGCGACCCAAAGCCACCAAGCGACGAACCTCAGCCTCGGTCCGCTCTTGCGACCCGAGACCTCTCCGCTTAGCCGAACGTGATTGCGAGACCATGACAGCTTCATCCCATAGTCCCCGCCGCTCGCCAAGACTCCACCGCGCGATAAGTGCCTTCGTGAAAGCAAGAGCTTGGCCTCGCCTCTGCCCTCTTTTGTTTTGACGGAGAACACTTTTCGGGAACATCAAAAGTTCCAACCACGCTCGGCGAGCCCGCTGTTTGGAAGGACAATCTTCGCCAACCTCCAGACCTCCTACCGACTTAGGCAAAGGATCCCACGCGTCCCTGCGGTTAGCAACGACTACCTCGCGAACAAGCTTAAGATACTCAATGCGCACAACGGGCCAAAGCTCGGCGGCCAAATGATCCTTAGTGAAAATGGGAGTGGTGAAAATTTCTTGAAGCGATGGTAAATCAGTAGGAACGAACGATTCCGCCCCAATTTCATCAGCACCTCTACGAGTTTGGGGCCAACATCTGGGATGAATGCCGGAGGCATTGCGAGAACTAACTGTCTTGCCACATACCTTACAACAAGTGAGTGCATGTTTACGCAACCACGCTTCATCAGGCCGGCCCTGCAGCTCCCCCAAACAGTGCAGGTCAACGGGAGCTCGCAGGGCTTCCCTAGACGTCCAAGCCGGTCCCTTTCCTCGACTACGAGCGCATCCTGAAACAAGACAGTACCATTCCTGCGAAGCCCTTGGGTCCCGGCAGATTCCGCTGTCATCCCCCTCCCCAAGACTCCGGATATCACCGATACTACATCCGAAAAGTCCCGCCAACGTAACTTCAGCCGCCGAAGGAGGGGGATCCATGAGCGGCATCGCCGATGGCATGGCCACATCTTCAACTTCATCAATCTCCATACTCGCACTACCTTGCAGCAGCGATGGAAAGGATCCTTGTGGAAAAGCTGGGTAAAGCCCCACAAGTCCGAGAAGGAAAAGACGAATTATAAACGTCATACCCTGACTCAAATACCAACCCCCGAGCACCGACACAACATGACACATCGGCGCCCTGAAATGATGGTCCCGACCCCACAATACCACGGCACCTCCACAGATTGCGCTCTTCAACCAATCACCTCTCTGCAGATTCCAAAGCCAAAACACGGCAAAGTAGAAGCTCTGAGCCAAGAGAGGCAGAGCGACGAGCCGATTCATCAATTGGTCCAATCCCGGCAAAAAGAGACAGATGGGCATCCCAGCGTTGCTCGCCCTAAAATGTCCCCAAATTGAAGCAGCGCACGAACGCAAGTGCTGCAAATAGAACAAGTGCTGGGGCGAAACCCAATGACATCGATACGCCGAACGTCTACGGCTTTTAGCACGAGCATTATCCCAAGTCGGAAACACATGAGGATATGGGAACGGCGGGGAAAGATGACCCCATTCCACACAATTTCCTCCAATCAACGAACTCAGGCACCAAAGAGCCAAAATGAGCAATCCGTTTCTACGCTTGCATCCCTTCCAACAAGAACACCGCCCCCCCAAGCGTTTAGCAGCAAGAACCTGGTCTACCTTTTCAAACCAAGACCTGCATCCTATCTGCAAAACACCCAACACAAATCCTATCCAAAGCACGTCCTTCCACAACCAAAACCAAAAGAAAGAATCCTCTGCGGCGGGTGGGGCGCACCGTTCCATGGCCACCCGGCCCCCGCCCTCCCGAGGATAAATCGTAATCCTTAAATCCTACCTTCGCATTAAATCATTCATTCAAGTTCTTACTAAATAAATTCTTACCCACCACGCTCACACGTCAGACTCTCAAATATCTATATAGAGATCCCGAAAATACTTGGATATTTTATTTGTCCGCACTTTTTCAGAGTTTTAACGTATATCTATTTCTACTTAGTAGGCGGATATGCCGTCGATGGAATCGACGGGTCCCCTCTAGTCCTAAAGAAGTTCGGAATGAAAATGGGAATTTTCTCATATTGGGAAATGGAGATCCCATTCTTTTATATATCGATATTTGATTGGATATACATCCATATTTTGGAAGGATTCCCCTTTTAGGTTGCAAAACACAGTGGCTTAAAACAATCGTAGAACATGTCCGCCGCATGGTTTTCCTTGTTGTCTCCTGTTGCAGCAGCACTCTTGCGATGGCTTGAGGGCGCATGTCCGGTTGAGTAGTGAAAGAAGATGTCTCATTTTGAAGCCGCATACGATGAAGAAATCATGAAATATATTGACTGGCCATCCGTGTACGTCTGAGCTTGTGCGCCATGGCTCCTAAGCTACTAACGAATAGTCTGCAGCAACAAGCTGGCAGAATCAAGCGAAGTTTGCAAGATTTTGCTGGGCAGCCTGGGGTTTCGGACGCTTTGCGCAGCAAGATCCAGGAGGTCATCGCAACTTTGCAATCTGAGTTTGAGCAAAGCATGACGGCGCGCGGTCGGATAGCCAAGTCGCCGCCTACTGCCCGGCAGCATCAAATGAAGGTCGCAACTCTTCGACACAAGATCCGGCAGTTGCAAGCCGACCTGCAGGCAACGAAGGGTTTGAAAATAGATGGGAGGGTTCAGAACTTTTGGGTCGTTCGTACAGCCTTCTGCGACCCGACTACTGTGCCGCAAGCGCTGGCCACTTTTTGCAGAGATTTCGGCCTGACGGAATCCAAGACCATCAGCCGCACGTATATCTGCCGTGTGGGCTTCCGGTGTAAGTGTAGGCTTGTTGGGGAGTTGGCGCCTGGTACTTGTTCCAAGCACTTTTGCCAGAAACCCCACCGTTATCCGGGCATGCAGCGAGGAGGTAGACAAGAAGGAGCAGGACCAAGATAAGAAAGACCAGCCGCTCAAGATAGAGGTTCAGGCAACCAGTGCCATTACGGTGGGTAGTGAAGTGATCACAACTGCCTTCAAAAACAAGGACAGTTACGATCAGAAAAGCGGGATCGTGGTAGCTGTGCTGGCCAATGCTGCAGCGAAAGTAGAGCTGCAGGAGGGCCCTTGTCGGGGAGAGAAGCACAAGTATGAGTTGCGATTTCTCAAATTGAAGCCCAAAGCGCCGAACGCTGAGGAGGCTCAGGCTCCTGCCCTAGAAGGGCAAGATACAGAGATCATTGCCAAGCGGCAGCGCCTGGCCGAAGCCGAGGCACTGCTCGGCAACACGGACGACATTGTGTAAAGAAGAGGGGGCAGCCAGAGCACGGAAAATTGTGGCAATGTACGGCTTGAAGGTTCGTGCGATTTAGGTTTCAAGTCTGCAGGGCCATATTTTAATTTGATAATTTGATGTTCTCTCCAAAGCCATAACAGCACTCTACAATTGAGTAGGTCCATGCATGCAGGGGTTTGTTTGGGAATGTGCAAACGCTAAAAGCACGCTAACTCGCACTAATACAACGAAATATGATTGTGGGAAGCCACTAGGAATGATAACCTAACCCCTTCTGGATCCTTTTGGATCTCATTTGGGATATCCTCGCATCTGAAGGAACAACATTCTTAATCGGAATTTATGATATCTATGAGGTATCGCATTATGGTTTCAATCATCTAATCTTCTACAAATGAATAATTCATATATAATGGATATAGGTTCGGATCCCGACAAAATCTGGAGATTCTTCTGGCATCCGATATTCTCTTTTGTATTATAATCGGAGCGTAAATCTCCTCTTTCTTTTTCGATCTTAGATCGAATTATGAAGCTGGATTAATTGGATCATATGGGAGTAGAAATCAAGAGAACAGAAATCTCTCGGATCTTCTTTTATTCAATTAGCGTTTTCGGGCGTGCATACCGCTCGCGCTTATCTCTAAACTTCCAATTCGCCTTGAGATTATCTTGATATGAGATTTGGGAAATTTGATTTCACGATATGAGAGAGATATATATAAGATTTCCAGAAATATATTTGATTTATATCGTCTCGTCTCGGCAGGGAAGATGATTAGAAAATTTATTGAAATGATTTTTCTATTATATCTTTCTTACGATAATTGGTGCTTTTGGGTGCAGACGCCACTTGCACCGTAGTTGATCTCACCATACGAGTTCCAAGAGTTCCCAATGGGAATATAATTGAGCGGCGCCAAAAACCTTCCATAAAAGAATTAGATTGAGGGTTCGCCTTTGATTGGCCCGCGTCAATTAAAGTCCGAGGTCCGCCAGTGCACGATAGTTTCTGCGAGAGAGCTCTGATTACGAGAGCGCGCGATAGCGCGCGATAGGCTAGGTGTTGAATGTAAAATATGTCTCTGACTGCAGATCTTGTCGGCATATTAGGGTTCAGGCTATTCTGAAGGTTTGGGGTCTTGTATTGGCTTCCCACGATAGTCCGCGTCAGTGCAACCCCAAAAAGTATGTACGCGTCAGCGCGCATCAGAGCCCGCGAGAACCCTTCCATAGTCGAATGAAAAATTCAAAGGATTTTCGTCATTGCTCAATTTATGAATTATCTTGAGGAGAATTTAACAATCCAAATTCCTTCGTTCTTTCCTGAATTAATCAATGATTTCTAGGATGATAATCATTTGATCGATCAATCCAAGATATTGAAAGATCTCCCATGATATAATATTCTCTAATATTTCATTTTCGAATATTTTCTACGCCTATATTTTGGATCCCTACGATTATCAGAAATCTGGATCGCTACTCGATCATGGAATGCAAACGATTTCTTCTCTTAATCTCTCCAATTCAAAATCTTTAGAGATTATAAAATTATGAAATAAGGAATAGATATCTTCTATATCCAAAATAATCCATAAGAGAAATTGAGGATCCGAGATCAAAATAATCAATCGATTTATTTATTTTCTCCAAGATTCCTCGACATATTTAAAAATTTGCTCCCAAATCTTAATTAATGAAATATCCCAGAAAGACGAATATTCAAGAAAGACAACGAAGATTCCGAAAAATTGGATATAATAAGGACGAGATCTGAATAAATATAAGATATCATTCGGATGAAAATTCTCAGAAAAGGATCAATCAAGAAATTCAATTCGAGAAATCATTATTATCCTATATTAGGGAGATCTCTTATAAATCATGAAAATAATTCATCCTATATTGAGAGAATTCCTATAATTGAGGATAATTAGCATTCATCAATCACCAATAGATATCAAGAATGAATTATTCATTTTCATAGGCATCGAGACTTCTGCTCGAATACCACCAGGGACGCAAGAGGCTTCTG